GGTCCTTAGGCCTTATGAAGCAATAAGATGCATTTTGGTGCATTTTGGAGCAGTTTTGGGTTTGGAATGAATAACACATGCATGGAGCAAGGTGGATAGACGAAATTGAAGACTAAAGAGGCTAAGAATGTGTTAAAGAGAAAGAAGAATTAATGTAAAAAGGACAAAGAGCTCAGCCACAAAGGGGTGTCACTCCACCATTCACTTTTCCATCATTGCCGTGCACCACCATTGCACTCCCTTTGGATTCCTATATCGTGCATCATCATCCATGTTCCCTCCATTGACTCATTTGTTGCATCATTCCACCTTTATTTCCTTTCTCTACCATGTGCACAATCACTCATGTTCCTTAGCTGCAACACCACTCAATTTTACCCCCATGCTGTGCATCATCACTTCACTTTCACCTTTGAATCATTTCAAACACCACGCATTGCACTCAATTGCTACACCATTCCTTGTTCCCTCAATCATTTCAAATTTCATGCATCATTACATTGAATCATTGCACTCAATTGCTACACCATTCCTTGTTCCCTCTATCATTTCAGATTTCATGCATCATTACATTGAATCATTGCACTCAATTGCTACACCATTCCCTGTTCCCTCCATCATTTCAGATTCATGCATCATTATATTGAATCATTGCACTCAATTGCTACACCATTCCTTGTTCCCTCTATCATTTCAGATTTTATGCATCATTACATTGAATCATTGCACTCAATTGCTACACCATTCCTTGTTCCCACTATCATTTCATATTTCATGCATCATTGCACTCAATTGCTACACCACTCCATGTTCCCCTCCATTGCCATGCACTTCCTCTATAAAAGAAAGTGTGTGTAACATAAATTTAGTTTGTACTTAGTTAGATGATTTGCTCCCATTTCAACACAACCTTCATCCAAACACATCCATTCATCTTCATATCCATTCCTCCATACAAACAAACCTTCAAACACTCACCAACACCTTGTGCCGTAGCAAAGGAGGGGAAGGAAAGTGCTTGGACGTGCTTGCTGTCCAACTTGGATCATTGGAGCATTTAGGTGTTTTCTTTCTTTTGTTTCTAATGTTTAAATTCATTTCCTTTCGTTTTGTTGTAAATATGAGTGGCTAAACCCCTCTTGGCTAGGGGTGATTTCAAAGCCATGATTATGTGTGCAATATAATTTGATAAATTCCAGTTATGAACTCTTGAATCGTGAATGCAATTGGCTTAACTATTTGCTTGATAACTTATTTGTATTTGTTAATTAAGGGTCGACATTTAATTGGCATGCATAAATCCGTTGCTAGAATATAAGGAAGTTTCACATAATCGTTACAAACTTATATTCACATGTAGTGAAGGTCGCTTATAAACGATCGCGTTAAGTTCAATTCCTAGCATGAGTGACATGATGTCATAGTTGCAAGTGCTTTGTCAATGCTTATGATTTTCATTAAACGTAATGATCTTTGATTGTATTTCTATTATGATGTCATGTAGGGAACTTTAGAAGAATGTTTTGGGTTGTCGAATGATGTCATCCAATCCAATAAAACAAGGAAAATCTGAGAGTTAACTAGTGATGTCATGGTTAATTTGGAGCATTGTCGTTCATAATTCAATGAAGTAGTAACTGGAAATCGAGTTGTTTGCATACATATCATGTGTGGAGAAAAAAGCCTCTAGCTATCCCATCCATCATCTTATTTCTCAAATTTGTTTTACAATCTGTCTAGTTTTTCATACTTGTTTGTTTGTTTCAACTTCGTCCAAAACTCAATCCCCCTTTACTTTAGTGTGTCTAATTAGTTAGAATCTGTTTTAATTTGTGTTTTTAAATGTTTTGATTCAAGTAAAAGTCAATTTTCATCCAAAGTCATTCTTAGTGTCTAATTTAAGTTTATTTAGTTGTTTTAAGCTGTTTTGAGTATTTTAAGTTTGCTTTGAGTCTTGTGAGTCTTGTTAAGTGTTTTTAAGTTTAGTTTTATGTTTTTGAGTCAGTTTAGAGGTTATTAGCAGGCCCTCCTAATCCCCGGTCTAGAACGATCCCTACTTATACTTATACTACAGTTGTCAAAAGAGGGTTAAATTTGTGTGTTAAGTTAATTTTCGCATCAACTACCAAATAGCAATTACAGCAGGAGGATCGAGAATATGGCGCCCAAGCAGACGAGATAGGATGGAAACCTGAAGAGGATGCTGAAAACATCATTCTTGATCCCCAGCAGCCGGAAAAGACGGCCAATATTGGCTCACGACTAAGCCCAGCCGAAAAGGAGGAACTCACTATTTTCCTTAGTTGTAAAACATTTGGATTTAGTTAAAAAGCTTGCTTGGTCTCTAAATGAACTTTGGATTTAGGCATCACAATTAGTAGTTGAATCACCTAGAATCACCTAGAAACACCAAGCAGAGAAAGACCAAGCAAACCCATAACTGAATCATCCAAAGGCACCAAGCACAAAAATACCAAGCAATCCAGCCACGTTTTTTGCACAAATAATTGTTTTTTGTAAAGGAATTGTAAAGTTAGAACAGGTTTTATGCATCTAGTACGTATTTTGTGAATTGAATGGATGATGTAGCAGGTTTTTATGAATTCGGTAGGTTTTGTAATGTTGGTTGGAGTTGCTAGATGAATTTTGTTAGTTTTTTGAATAACTTTATGAATTTCTAGATAATTAAGCAAGTTTTATGCTTAATTTGGTCTATTTCATGTTTTTCTTGGAAATGATGAGTAGTCTGTGCTTGAATACACTTATTTTGTTGTGGTTATATCATTATTTTTTGGGTGAGATTTTTCTAATTTGAGGTCAAGGATGATAATCAGTGCTTAAAATGGTAGATCATCTGTCTAAATTTTGGGCGGGAAAATTTGAAATTCAAATTACAAAAAAAAAATCAAATATATTTTCTAACGTGGATGTCATTTGGCGGGAAAACATTAGGTGTGGCCATGTGGAATCCATCTGGGCGAGGAATTGGGCCTTGGATCAAGCTAGGTCAGCATTTAACTAGGAAATTCATGGACAAGCTAACGGAGGTATAACATTGGACCAAATTCTAAAGATACGGTATGACATTGTCAATTTTAAAATATGAGATATGATATTGTCGTGACCCCAATAGTTGAGGTAATTTTTTGTAATTTACTCTATAATTTATTTGTGTAGAAAGAAATTGAACGGGTGCATAAATCAAATATGGCAACAAAAAACAATGCATGAATCAAATGATTATCTGCATTTGATAATTTGATAATTTCATGTTCTTAATATTGCTTTGTATATAGTTTGTTCACATATATTGAGTTTCAGGTAGTTTTTATTATTTTAAATGAGAGGAGGACTCGAAGTTGGGACGAGAACTCTTCCAATATCGAAAAGAGTTTGGGTGTTTCAAATGAACCATGAGAAAAATGGATATTCAAACAAACCTACAAAGTTGAGATCTCAAACTAGCATCTTGCCTAGTCGGTTCAGGTTGAGGTCTCATTCTTTTGGATTTGACTTGAATGGAGTGCATGATGATATAGATTTGATTTTTAATTGTGACTAGTCCCGTTGTAATGATATAACTTTGTTGTGACACAATAGTTCTTATCATTTATTTATTTTTCAAAAGTCACTCGGAATTTTACTAAATTTTTTACCAGCTTTTAATGAAAGTTCTTTTATAAAAGCTGCTTTAAGAGCGGTTTGTCTAAAATTACTGGAAGATCTTTTGATGACAGTGCTTTTTCAATCAATCATTCGTAAAAATGCAAGTGAATTATGAAAAAACATTTGAAGTTCTCCTACAAGAAGCACATAACTAATGTTTCTTGCATAAAACACTTAAAATGCTTTTGGAATCCAAAAATGTTTTCAGTCATTTTTAAAATACTCCAAACAAGAATATTTTCAAATTCAACATGCTAGGGAGACTTCGAGCCCAACAGTATCAAAACACCTCTCGCTCTCTAAACTTGCAACACCTCTCTCTCTCTCTCTCTCTCTCTCTCTCCCCCTCCCTCTCCCTCCTCCATCTTGCGAAAACAGAAAACGATCCGTGCTATACCCAGTATTCAAAAGTTTCAACATGAAGCGGAGGTAAAAAAAAAAAACCACAACGGAACTTTTTCTTATAAAGGGAATTTACTACGATGCCCACGAGTATCTTATGTGTATTCACTGTTAGATTTTTGTATAAAAGAAATACAAAAATTAAGATTTAACAGTTAAAAATTTCTAAATATTCTATAGTTCCAAGCATCATAGAGTTTTTGTTATTAAAGTTTATATTGTATAGTTCCCTGTATACATACATACATATATATATATACACACATACATATATATATATATATGGAGAGAGAGAGAGAGAGAGAGAGAGAGAGAGAGAGAGAGAGAGAGTTGGAATTGAGTATGTATTAGATAATCTTGTAGGGTGGGAAAAAGTCACTCTTGTAATAGATTTTAAAACAAATGTGGAAAATTGATGAATGACCAACACCATATAAGCTGTAGAGGCTAGACTGGTGGTTTAGAATCAGTAGATGCATCAAATTATTAGACTTGAAAGGAATTTGTCCAACAATGCATTATTGGATATTTCAGTTTCGGAAGTGATTTCCGCTTTTTTGTTTCTCCTCTTCTTATTTGTAGTGGTTGGATTGACTATATCAGAGAAAAATTACTGTACATAAACAATTGTACAAGTGCAGGAGAAAACATGAGTGAGAATCACCATATGTTGAGATCTTCTTTTGAATTTTTTTTTTTAAAAAAAAAAAAAATGAGATAACTGATAGCAAAACACTGTTTATTTACTCCTTCGAGAGAGGCTATAAGGAATTTCACCTTATCCTTAGCCAAGATCAAACAGCCTCACCAGCTCAAAGTATCGAACCAGAACCTCCCTCATTTTTTGTTTATTAAGGAGTCGTAGTCCGTGCCTTTATCTCTAGGTCACTTGTTGTGGTTGATTTTCTTTCGATTGTTTGGATAACCAACTATTTACTTGGTCCATTGCTTTTTAAAGATTGACTCCAAGAATTACTAGATATTGTACATTATAACAGCTCCAACCTCTTTTTCTACAACCAAGGGGACTCTAACCAACCCCATGTTAGTGGAATCAAAACAACACCAACACAAAGAATTACAAACGCCCACCAACTAAAAAACTGTAAAACTGCAATACCCTTCCCCTCAGTCCCCCCCCCCCCCGCGCCCCCAACCCCAAAAACCCTAAAAAATTACAGATTTCAAAACTGTAAAAATCATGGACACGGTCACGACGGTGACATCCCTCCTTGCGTACTTACAGGGGTATGATGCTTCTTTTGTAGCTTCCCTCTCAAATGTCTGATCTTGGCATCCACTCTCGCCGTGAACCCTATCTTGGTTTCTTGTCTTGCTTTCGACGCCTCCCTCTTCCACATGCGCTGATCCTCAACATCCTTCTTGTAGTACTTGATTTCTTGGATGATATGATGATCCATTGGATTGAAACTTCTTTGGAATGCTAAGTGGACAATGTATGGGAGATTACATGCGATTGTTACTAAGAGAGTGGCTGACCAAAATAATGGGGCAGGACCAAGAGCTTCGACTAGAATTTGGTAAGCATTCTTGGAGCGAGTTGGAGGCAGCATTCCGTAAAGCAAGAGAAATAGGTACCACATTGCAATACTTCCCCACACAAGGAGATGCTGAATCCACGTAAAGTGGCTCGTTATGAGAGCAATCTGGCAGTTAACAGCCCAAACGATGCAACTGAACATAGTGGTACCCATAGCAGCCATATCAGCTGTCTGGCCATTGGCACGGAAGGCTTGGTCGTAGAAGATGATGATGTTGAGAAAGAAGACTATGAGAGAGCAATAGACACCATTGCCCATCCACCCCAGTATCCTGTACCAGTCAAAGAACAAATTTCTAGGTCCTTGTTGGTACAATGCAGGGAACTGCAAAACACACGATGTTTTCAAATGTCACTGCAAGGCTATCACAAAACATAGATAATTAAAAGGGCATTGCTAGAAGGACTAACCTGTAAGCAGACCTCAGACGAAACATCTTGTTCAAAAACTCCAAGCGAAATTACAGGCAATGAGGTTAGAATGACATTGAATGATAACATGTACCAGTCGTCATATATTGATTGCCCAGAAAAACCAGTGAATGCCTCGAAGTAGAAGAGGGTAAGACCAAATGCAATGTTTTTGTAGAAGAAATAGCAAACCTGAAAGCAATACATCCCCATTAATAGGTGGAAGACTAACAACAACTACATGCATTTACTGATATTACCATCTGAGCAATCCTCTTATATGCACCATGCCCGTGATAGCAAACTTCTATCATTCATGATTTGGTTTTCATTTCTTTTACAAAATTTTAGGTATAAGACTCCTCACGATAGCAAAAGCAAGGTACTAATCACGGTCGGAACTTCAGTTGGAGCTTCGGTTGTGTGCCTTTTCTTGACTTTAGGCATTCTCTGGTGGAGAGGCTGTCTAGAAAGCAAAACATCAAGGGAAAAAGGTATTACTAAGCCATTGTGAAAGTGCATTTGTCTCAATCTTTCAAATGCCATGTTGCTAGGAAATACACTGTGTCTCTAAGTTCAAAAGAAGTATTGTAAATGCTATAAGATATTACCAATATTATGATCTTTGTTCTTTGGACAGCTTCTAAGAGGACTGGATCTGCAAACTGGTTTTTTCACCTTCAGGCAAATTAAAGCTGCCACTAACAACTTTGATCCTGAAAACAAAATCGGGGAAGGCGGTTTTGGGTCTGTCTACAAGGTACCGTTACAATCTAAACCTGCGTACTTTTCCCGTACTTTTTGTGTGTCCTGAATTAACTATTTGGCTTTTACGGAAAATGCAGGGTATATTGTTGGATGGTACTATAATCGCGGTTAAGCAACTATCATCAAAATCAAAGCAAGGAAATCGGGAATTTGTGAATGAAATAGGCATGATATCTGCTTTGCATCATCCAAATCTTGTCAGATTGTATGGATGTTGTATTGAATCAAACCAATTACTGTTGGTATATGAATACATGGAGAAATAATAGCCTTGCACATACTTTGTTTGGTAAGCTTAGTTATCAAGTTTAGTAACAAAATTACACAGGAATGGTGAATTAAAAGGACCTGGAAATTCATGTTTGTTTCAGGTCCAGAGGAAGGTCCATTAAAGCTGGACTGGTCTACAAGGCAGAAAATATGCATAGGTATAGCAAGAGGTCTGACTTTTTTGCATGAAGGAGTCGCCACTGAAGGTTGTACATAGAGACATTAAAGCTACAAATATATTGCTAGACCAAGACCTCAACGCAAAGATCTCTGACTTTGGTTTGGCCAAGCTTGACGAAGAGGAGAACACTCACATTAGCACCAGAGTTGCTGGAACCATGTAAGCGTTGCTGCTACTATATTCTACATGCTTATTTATTGAAATGTCCCCTGGAACTAATGTCGTTGTCTAACTCCTTGAAACTGAATTTGTTGTGTAGAGGATACATGGCTCCAGAATATGCACTATGGGGTTATTTAACATATAAAGCAGATGTCTTACAGCTTTGGTGTAGTTGCATTGGAAATTGTTGCTGGAAAGAACAACATGAAATATCGACCAAATGAGAACTTCGTATGCCTTGTGGATTGGGTAAGATCGTCATTCTAAGAGCTTGAGTACATGTCAACGTTGAGTAGCTAATCTCGGCTAGTCTTTTTTATCTGCTTATTTCAGGCTCTTGTTTTACAACAAAAGGGGAACTTAATAGAGCTAGTGGATCCAAGGTTGGGGTCCGATTTTGAAGTGGAAGAGGCAATTACAATGGTCAAGGTAGCTCTCTTATGCATCAATCCAGCACCAGCTCTCAGGCCGACCATGTCTGCAGTAGTGAGCATGCTTGAAGGACGGACACTTGTTCGTGAATCAGGTCATGAACCCAAATATTTACGGCGATGAACTGAAGTTAGCAACCTTGAGAAACCCGTTTGATCCGACTGCACCGGGGGTTACAAGTGGAACTCAGAGCCTTGTTGGTTCATCAGATGCAACATGGTTTAATTCTTCTGCTGCCACGTCCTCAGATCTCTATAAAATTGGTCCTAGTAGTAGTACATCTACTTAGTAATTAACGTAAACCTTGTTATGCGTTCAAGTATGCAAATTCTCGTGTACTGATAAGTAGTACGTTCACTTTCCAATATCAAAGCTTCAGCTTCATACTTTTGATTACAACTTTGGATGCAAGAATAAACGCTTTTAATCAATTGAGCCAACTCTAAATGGTTTGCTACATTTGCGAAGTAGAAGCTCTATGTAACAAAGAAAGTGGAGAAAGAAAAAAAATACAGTAATTTTAAGTGATTCAAATTCAGTCCAATCATTTATGTATATGATTGTCAGGATCAAGCTGTCAATTTTCCACTTGACCATGGTTTAAGTTCTAAGGAATTACAGCAGGGACAAAAGGTTGAATAATTCAAAGTTCGTTTTTCTGGCTTAAGATGCAACATGGATTGGTGGTTAAAGGAGGCCAACTCTTGCTTTTGTATACATGGAATATTCATACAAAAAGTCTAGGAAGATGTGGACGTTTAGATTATGGTTACGGATTTTAATTAGTCAGACTATATTATTTGTTTAACCACTAATTAGGCAGACAATTAAGGTGCACTAAATTGTGGTTTATGATACACGATTTATTATTTGTTTAAGCCATTAATAGTTCTATTCCGTAGTTGGTATTCGTAAATGTGTTTCTTTTTATAATGCATATTAGCCCAAAGATCTCTTGCTAAACGCTCTCTAACTACGTTTAGCAGAACATAAATTTTTTCAAGTCATAAAACCGTTTTTATAGACAAACGCAGGTTAGATGACCTTTTTAAATGCACTTTCAAGTAATTTTACACCAACTACATGAATTTTTAATAAAAAATTTTACTACATACTTTTCTCATTTTTTTTTTTTTTTTGAAAAATTTTACTACATTCTTAAGTTTATAACAAAAACATTTGTAACATACACATGCTTTCTACAAATGCATTCCCTTTACGATAACCGATCTAAGCATAACATTCCCCATAATTAGTAACCACGCCCACATCATAATTATAAACCCAAGTTCTTTAACTACATTAATATACTATTAGGAATGTTCTTAGCACTATAAAATTTTCATTCTACATTTTTCATAAGTGTATTTTTTTTTCAATTACAAAAAGTTTAGAGTGCAAATAAAATGTTCTTTTTGAAGTGCATGTAACAATTCCGTACTATTAATAATTTAATATTCAATCGAAAACCATGTGGGACCCCATCATGTGTGCCTCGACAAGATTTTTCCCTTCTTTAATTCTATTATAATATTCTAGAGCCATTCAACCAAGAGATTTTTCAAAGTATTGAACACAGAGCAATATACCAAGTATCATTATACAAGTGGTAAGATAGTGTTAAAAAATTCAGAACTTAAAAGATAAAAATTATGTCCGCTTACATAATAACACATATTGTATCATTTGTATTTTAGACACAATGAAAATATTTTTCCATTCAACCATGTCTTTATCTTCTAGAGGTGCGACTGAGTTGTGACTTTCAGCCATTCAACAACATCTGCCTCTTCAGAAAGTTCAAAAATTGAAAATTCTTCTAATTGAAAAATTGAATAGTCTTATTCAAAAGTTGAGCGATCCCAACTTGACATGTGTTAAAAATAACAGAAATCCTAGAGACTCTTTGGAAGTAGAATTCTCTATAAATTTTTTGCTACCTTATGTTTTTAGCACAATTTTAGTGCCAACATTGTAAAATATTGTGTCAAAAAAATGAAGTGGCGGAGAATTTCACTTTGAGAGAGTCCAACTTTAAAAGACAATACTTAGCATTTCTCTGAAAATAATAATTAACAAATTTATATTTTAATGAAGATCACAAATTAAAACTAGTCAATGAGCAAAGGTCACGAGTAAAGACTAGTTCTACCATAAATGCTAAGAAAACTCTCTTAAAAGTAAGACTCTTTATAGACTCTTTGTCATCTCATTTTTGTGGCACAATTCTCGTGACAACATTATAAAATAATATGTAGAAAGAAAAAGTGACAAAGTCTATGGAGAGTTTTACTTTGAGACGATCTCCTTAGCATTTCTCCTAGTTCTAAATACTCGACAACCTACTCGACTTATGTCTCCATTATTATAAGAAAAAAGTCATAAAAATAATAATTTTAATTCAAAATGTATACTTTTGTGTCTTTATTTGTACTTGAACTTTTTCGTCTAATAATATGCTCTTTCTTTAAAACTAAAGTGGCTTTGCCACTTAGTACTACGATCTGGTGATATTCCTCATCACTTGTAAGTGAGAGGTTTTATGTTTGATTCTCACCATAGGCGAATTTGAACCATGTTATTGCTAATCTATTGTGAAATTAAGTTCACCTCCTCCCCTTAGTGTAGATAATATTGTTAGTCAAAAAAAAAAAAAAAAAACTAAAGTGGTCTTAGTTTGAGGAAACAAATCATAAAGGGTGGGAAAAAAAGTGTACTTAGAGCTTCTCACACACTCTTCTTTCTTTTTAGTTATTAGATTGAATAAGTCAAACAAAATTAACGGCTAAAATTAAAAAAGAATGTATAGGAGACTAAAAATGACATGTGTTAATTATTTTTATAAAAAAAAACACGAGGGTTTGTGTTGGGAAATTGAAATATGGCCATTTTAAAGAGCACTTATTTAAATATCAAAAATGCAAATCTTACTACATTTTTCATGCCACATTTGTATTATCTCTCTAATAGACATGATTCACATGTGTTGGTAGGCCCTACCTCCCTAAAAATGTGATACAAATGTAGTACGAAAAATATAGTAAGTATGTCATTACTCATGATCAGAAAGCTACCTGGATATCCGACAGCCGAATAAAAGATGAGCATATATGTATATATGTTTTAGTTGATTATGTGACAAACAATATTAGGAGGATCTTATAGCCCACCCGAGAAAAAAAATCTTGGCTCCTTCCTTGGTATTCGATTTACTCCCTCAATATCACTTACGAAAGAAAAGAAAAAAATGAAAGAAAAACCTCAATGTTATAAAATGTTGAAGGGTAGTCAAAGATTCATATTAAGGACACAAGCTAAACAAAGTAGTTACTAATCCTAGGGTCCATTACTTTACTTACGTGCCAAGATTCTAAGGGTCCATTATTTTGAAAAGGATAAAGAAAACACTTGGACAATCTTGTGAATAATTGG